AAAACCAAAGAAAAAAATCTCTCTCCTGTTTGCTTTATCTTTTGATCGAAATTCACATTATGCATTCAACCTGCTCAAACATTCTGTATAGCTTATTTCCTTTTGATTTTGGAACAAACTGCTTGTTGCAGAGGCTTGCTGAGATGCTGGACTATGATATAAAACGTTGGGCTACTGGGAAAGAAGGCAACCTCCGCGCATTGCTGTCATCACTGCAACATGTATGTAATCAGCAAATCTTGAAGTCAACTTAGATCTATTAAGAATCTTTCAAGACATAATTAGATCTAATCTACTATCTCTCAAGCCAGTTTAGATATTTTCTGAAATTAGTTTGATCCAACCCAGTAGTTTCCCACAAGTGGGGTCTGGGGAGGGAGGGTAAGATGTACGCAGCCTTACCCATACCTTGGAAGGACATAGAGGTTGTTTCCGAATCAACGCTTAATTTATGTTGGGTAAAAAGGGAATCAAGCTTGATCCTTAAAAGTCCTTAAATTTCGCTATATCTAAGGAGGCAAAACTGCACTAGATTTGCTTCTTACAATTGTAGATAGGGGTAGCTCCCTGACACTAATGTAATATTTTGTGCATCATCTTTTTACCTTGTTGCCAGTTTAATGGTTGCTCTAGCTTTGCATCATATCAGCATTCATTAGATTACCTGTCTTTTATCTTTGATGCCATGTGGTCTGGTCGAATCTGTTATTTCTGATCTATTGCTGTGAGAAATTGATGCCCGTCCATTCAAATCCAGTATTTCATGGATCGTTATACACAAAGCAGCAATGCAAACGCTAGAAGGAGATGATATTTCATACTGGTTTCTTCTGTTGGTAGCTTCTTATTATATTGCTAGTAGTTATGGGCTTTTGCACATTTCACTTAGTTATGACCATTGTATCTGCAATAGAATATGGCATCTAGTGTCATGAAGGAAGTAGTTATTTGCAACTATTGAATGCACAACTATATCTTATAATATAGCCAGTAGGTATGGGCTTTTACAAAGTTCACTTAGTTATGACCATAGTATTTACAATTTTGAAATATGGCATCCAGTGTCATGAAGTAGTTCTTTGCAACTTAAATGCTGTGCAGGTATTGTGGCCTGAATGCGGTTGGCAGCCAGTTTCTTTGACCGATTTGATCACTTCCACATCTGTCAAAAAAGTTTATCACAGGGCAACCTTGTGTGTCCACCCAGACAAAGTTCAACAAAAAGGGGCCACAGTTCGGCAAAAGTATATTGCTGAGAAGGTTTTTGATCTTCTGAAGGTAACTGTATATGTTTAATAAGTTGTTAAGCTCACATTCTTTATTCTTCTTTCCTGACGTTCATATGTTCAACAAGTACCCTTCATCATTATATTTTAAGCAACCGCAAGGCTGCGATGCATACATCATATGTGCATATGGGAAGCTACAAGGAGCTGTAGAAGTAAGGGCTATTTGGTTTGCGTACTAGTTATTTATGGATTATAATGTAGGGATTGTGTCTGTCGTAACTATTGATGTAGGGATTATTATGTGGGAATGTTAAAAACATTAAATGTTGTGCAAAAATTACTACTTTGAAGGCATTTATGTCTTTAGATAGTGTTATCCAGATATTGTGGATACATATAGTTTATTCCACATTCTTTCGTGCATAAAATAATACATAGATTCCCTCATTAGGTATGTTGGTATTACGTTTAATACCACCAACCAAACACTGCATTAGTTATGCACGGATTTATCCTTACACGGTCGACGAAACAATGCATTAATTGTTGAGAGACTATCTTTTCTTATGTGGCCAACCAAATATTATACTATTACTTATGACCAAATGGCTCCTTAACTGGAGTAAAATGTGGATATATTAGGTACATGGTATGGCCAGCCCCTTTTTAGGGCAAATAGTAATAAGGTTTCTAAGGGGTCGTTTGGTTTGCAAACAAGTTATACTGCGATTATTATGTGGGGATCAAACCATGGAAACGAATCTACATCATTAAACAATAACGAAATTATTTAGTGGATACATTGTTTATGGTAGATGTTTGGTTCAGTGACTTAAAAATGGGATATACGGGTATTATATAATACATGTGTTTGGTTTTATAATTGATAGACGTGGATAAACTTTTTTTAAACCTTGGCATTTTTAAAGGATTTTGGAGAAGGGCACTATTGTCATTTGTTTGTTTTTTTCCCGATTGTTATCCCACATTGAATATGGTTTAAAGATAATAACAAAATCGTGGTCTAGATAAGCTCGGGATTGCTTATATGAGAAATAAAAATTCAACCAAACACGGGATTAAATAATCCCACATTTCATCCACAGGATTATTATCCCTTACCTCGTGAACCAAATGACCCCTAGAAGTGTTGCTATCCTTAGAGTGAACCGTTTTTCATTTTCTCTGAGAAAATACATAACTTCAACCAACTCAATGTTCAAGACTTCACCTTTTTGGATGAAAATTTGATTTTGTTGCTATAGCTTGTGATCTTGTTAAAAGTTCTTATTCTGTCGATTAGTTAGGGTTTGATATGATTCAAATATGATACTGGGGAAGAAAATTCACTTAATATACTAGGTGCACTAACGATGCGCTATAAGTTTAACTCAAACAAACCTGATAATTAATACTGATAACTACTGATCCATAAACATAAATGCTGCCTGCTAATGCAATATAGTCTTTTTGCGGTGTGTAATTATGATTTTTGCTTACTTGCAAATAATGACTGCATTGAAGCATTGCTGGTTGAAGGGGCCTGAAATAGTTAAGAAATTAGAATATAAAGAGGAAATTTCAATTTCAGAATTAGCGATTGAGTTTAGATATTACAACTCAGGATCATTTTCTTGCTTGCATTTAAGAGAATATTTTGCTTCTGAAGAACTCTAATGTAAAGGATTTGAAAATGTAGAATTTAAAGTTTGCTGTTTGTCAAACAATATGAATTTGAATAATCTTCGTACTGAATAACAGCAGTAGAAGCTTGATTTGTACAAAAATTCAACTCATATTTTTGGAAACTTCTGAATGCGACAAAGCAAAAGCAATCAACTTTAATAGGAAACATCAAACAAGGCAAGAAGGTTTTGCTGTCTTCTGGGAAATGGAGGCAGAGTGTCTGGTCAGGGAGGGGGAGAGTAGAGAAATAACAGTTAGCTGCACAATTCGGACACCAAACTTGACACCAATCCACTGTAAGCTTCTGGCTGTATTAATTGTATGGATCCATACACCTTCCATAAGGATGATGCAAATAATGACATATGATGGCACTAGATTAGGGGGAGAAAAAGAAAAGAAAAAAAATATTACTGGTTACTTCTTACGTGTTTCCACCTCTCTTCTGAAATAACTACTACATCTTTATAGTATTCCATCTCTGCTGGGAAGTAAATACTACATCCTTTCCTATTTGTCACTCAATGAAATCCAGCTAAAAGAACAAAAAATAGGAGGGGAAAAAAGTAGATGAGTACTCTATGTTTGTAATGTATACACCCACAGTGTGTGACAAGATCTAGTACTACATTTCAAATGTGCCATTCATTAGTCTGTGGGACAGATTTGGATATGTGTTTCTCTAGTGGGGAGTGAGTACTGCTATCCATTCATATCCTATAATATGCATAGGAACCATCAGGTATGCTGTTCTGAATGTAGATCCTGAATTTGACAACAGGAAGCGTGGAATAAATTCAATACAGAGGAGCTAAGATGAGTTCGAGCTATTTATAAGGTCTCCTTTTGTTGAGAAAGCAGATGATGGCCTACCTTTGCTTGAAAGTGAAGCGACAATGTACGAGTGCTCAAATAGTTGTGCAAGTTGGCTCGACTTTGTTCTTTGGTGGACCGACATGATACTGAGATACTGAGTTGCTTCACATGGAATTAGTGACGTTCACAAATTTGCATGTTTACGATCTTCGTCAATGTGTTAAGAACCCCACAGCTTTTGTTGTGTCATTTTTTTGTTTTGCAGTTGTTACATATATATGGAAATCTTCATCAGCGAGTCCCACTTGCTCTGAGATATCAGAGCAGTAGGTTTTTGTGCATAATTTGTTGAATTAGGTGAAACACCATTGTTGTTGGCATGTTGAATATGATATTGTTATTGATCATCTATCCTTGAATTCGTGATAATTTGGTCTTTTTCTTATGCATGAATATGATTTTTGATGCCATGTTAGATTTCTAGGATTGTGTTTCAAACTGAGGTTGAGAGTTGCCAATAATGTCCCTGGAATTGTTTATTGAAAGGACTTGATTTGACCATAGTTCTGACTGTTTGATTTTGGGGAATCGCCTGGTGATGTCATTGTTCCCCTTCTTATTGTCGGTGTCACTGTATAGCTGTTTAATTATCCGAACTAAAACTTGCATAGCACTACGCTCTTTCGGATTGTAGAATATTACAGCGAGTCGTTAAGTCTGTGAACAACTTAATTCGTATAACTTGAGGGCTAGATGAATTTATTTGGAGCGAGATTGGACGTTAACAAAGTTACAGTTTGATTAGGAGTAGGAAACTACATGGAAATACAGCGAGGTGTTAAGTCTGAGAATTGTTCTTTGTTTACCTTAATTTTCCTGACCCTGCTTGTATTGATCATTTTTGTCCATTTTCGAGTGGGGTAGTGGGGAGTATATCGATCGATAGATATGTATCATAAACAATTCTAAGTTCATATTCAGTTTACAACATACCCTGTATTATCCTACAATGTGGGGTATGAGAGGGTAGTGTATACACAGTTCTTACCCCTACCTTGTGAGAATAGAGAGGTTGTTTCCAATAGACCCTCGGCTCAGGAAAGTATAAGCACCACATTAATGAAAATATAGACAAGAAAGGACAGTGCCAAAAAGTCATATAAAAGCAGAATAAAAACAACAAGACAGTAAATTGATCAACAATAGGGCTGCTTATCGGGCGGATGGGGCGGTTATTTACTCTTATTGGTTATCGGCCTCGGTTTAGCTCTTATCGGGTGGTTTATCGGTCTAATTCAATCTGTATTGCGTGCATTAATTGTTTGTTGACCGTTGTGACTCAAAATAAAATTCCTATGCTCAGCAGACTACATTCCAGCCTATAAAATACAATAGATGAGTCCATTACATCCCAAAGCAGACCACATTACAGATGAATCCAGAATACATGTCTTTCCTCCGCCCACAACTGCAAAGGAAAAGTCAATGCTCCCTGATTAATTCTGAAATGATAAAATTCCAGTCTATATTCAAAGTGAGTCCAGAATACATATTTCAAAATGATTAATCCATAAGTGAGCAGACTATACAGAAATGTTTGGCCTGCAGCTAACGCCTAACAGTGCTTGAATTTCTGCAGCTTCAAAGTTCAAACAACAGCTTAATCCATAAGTGAGTAGATCCCTGTAAAAAATATGCATACACCAAATTTCAGCATTAGGCAACGAAGTAGAGACTGATAAATACTACTGTCTTGATTCTTGTTTGAAGCCCCACTTTCACCCATCACCTTATCACTTTGTATATTTTCAGCCATGCTATGAGTCACTGCAACAAGAAAAGAAAAGGAATGAGAATAACAAGTTGCTTAATAGATATTTATACAGGTACTGTCAAAATCGATCTCAAATTAGATGAGTTTTGTGAACTTTAAAACATGCTGTTGATTACTGTTGCTTTTAAATTTTGTATATTGAGAACGGAGTCAAACATCCTAAATTTTGTATGCTTTTAAAGTGAGAAATTTCTGATTCTTCACAAAACTTGTGTTTATGTTTCAAAACAGATGAGTTTTTGTTTATGTATACTGAAGTAAGCATCTGAATACTTTGAAAATTGAGATGCTCTTTGATTTTAAAGACATCAACAAGAAAAGAAACTTACCATCTGCTTCTCTGGCTATGGCGAGAGGGAGAGGCGAAACGGCGAGATGGAGAGGCGAGTCGGCGAGAGGGAGACGACGAGTCGACGTGACCGCGAGAGGGAGATGGCGAGT